TACACATACAAACATACACACATACATACACATATACACACATACATACAATACATATACGTCGGTCAGAGTCATGTGGGTAATGTCACTCTTCACTGCCATACAGGACAGAGGTTCGTACACAAAGAATGCATCATATTCATTGACACTATATATAGGTCAGATTCAAGTGGGTAATGCCACTGTTCACTGCCATGCAGGACAGAGGTTCGTACACAAAGAATGCATCATATTCATTGACACTATATATAGGTCAGATTCATGTGGGTAATGCCACTGTTCACTGCCATACAGGACAGAGGTTCGTACACAAAGAAGGAAATACATCATATTCATTAGCAGTATATATAGGTCAGTGGTTCACATACATTGGAGTCATATTCTAATTGAAGACTAATCAGTGTGGGCTAGCAAATTTGGGATAAACAGCAAGAATGTCCTCAAGCACACCTGATTCAATGAAGTAATTACATAGTTCAAGATACAATAAGTCAGGTGGCCTGAAATCTTTGACAGTGTCACATTCAATAATATAGTGTTCAAGTGTATGCTTTAGAGGTTTATCACAAAGTTTACATGCTGAGTGTTCCGGTATGGGTACAGCGTTACTATCCTGCCAGATGTGTCTGTATCCAAGTCTAATTCTGGCCACGACTACATCACATTGTCTGGTTCTGTCCTTATGCTGGCCATACCGGTACCTCTCGTCACAAAATTTGTCATATTTACTAATGCTACAACTGTCAGGTCTCTCTGCATTTCTCACCTCTTCTAGATCAGAGTTCATGATTCTGACTTGAATGATTTTAATTACAGCATTGGACAGGCCAAGGTGCCGGTCAACATTTTCTTTCTTACATGCCTCATTGGCGATCAGCACGGTCATGATACCAACATGGTGACGGAATCTACACAAATTCGATCCGAGAGTTGTTCTCATTGGCAGTTATCACATTCCTTTTAATATCACATACAACTTTAGACATAGAGCCTGACGGGCTGTTTATTGATTTCAAAGCACTTTGAGAGTCACAGAATATCACCCCACCTCCATTTTCTTTGAGGTAGTCTGTAGCTAAGTAGATTCCAGTTAGTTCAGTTTGTGTTGTGCTGGCCCAGTTGTTCAGCCTTTGTTTGTTTGACACTATCATCTCTTTTTCTTAAGTTTGATTTATTTCGCAGTTTATTTTAAATATCTATTAATTTACTTTATCAACTCATTGTTTGTTTTGTCTGATTACCAAATCCATAAATGTTATTTATTTGTTAATTATGTCATACGTGTTCATAATTCATGTTATTATATAACTTACTAAATTAGTTACAACACACACACACACGCACACACACACACACACACACACACACACACACACACACAGGACTAACTTAACCTAACTCAATTTAGATGTTTGGTTGTCATCATATACTTAATGGAAAATGAGACAACTTTACCAAGCGTGAATAAATTTCCATAAGTCTTAGCAATAAAAACAAAATGTTATCTCTATTTGTCATAAATATCAGTTGTGTGTGTGTGTGTGTGTGTGTAATAATAATAATAATAATAATAATAATAATAATAATAATAATAATAATAATAATAATAATAATAAAAATAATAATAATAATAATAATAATAATAATTAACGGTTTATTGAAAAAGTCGGCAGCCCAAAGGCTGGGTGGGTGGGTCGTTTAAGAAAAGCTTTCATTACTGAAAGGAGAAGGAACAATGATTGAACATACAAATTATTATAGTTTACAGTTGATGGCCCGGGCCTGGGCTGGTCATGGAGACACCAGGTGGTGTGGTGTTCACGTGGTGTAGTAACTCGTCCTCGGGTGTTGATATGAAGGACCTCACGTGGTCATGGAGACACTGGGTGGTGTGGTGTTTACGTGGTGCAGTAACTCGTCCTCGGGTGTTGATATGAAGGCACCTCACGTGGTCATGGGGACACCGGGTGGTGTGGGGTGGTGTTATAGTACCTCGCCCTGCTGGGTGGTGTTGTGTTATCTCGTAGTCAGGAACATAGCCGGCCGGCCCTCTGTTGTTCCCACGGTGGACTCATTAGCACCTCCTGGTCAGAAGACTGCGGTCAGTTCCCAGGGGTGTCTATCCCACTGGTGGGTCACGGCTCTCACTGGTACTGTCTAGTGCTGAACTCACTGGCTTAAGCACTGTGCATCAATGTTCAACACTGGTCCCACTTCTTTCCGAAACGAAATTGTCACTTTTGATTATGTTGATATCTCAGTGGTGAGGATGGGTCGGGAAGAGGGACTTGGGAATGGGCCGAACATTGGCCAAGGGGGGGCAGCTGCTCAGCAGGAGCAGCGCCTGAATAGATCTCGACCCTACGGTGGTCAAGGATGTGTGTGTGTGTGTGTGTGTGTGTGTGTGTGTGTGTGTGTGTGTGTGTGTGTGTCCATTAACGTGTACATTCCAGCACCACTGTCAGAACCACTCACAACATGCCCCCCACCCCAAGGATAATATACCAGTATCCCCCCCTCCCTTGTTCTTAACCTTTCGCCTTCAGACCAGATGTGCTGCCGTCTGGGCTGGGCTCTTCTGTATAGCTAAACCAGACTTGTGTTCATAAAGCTTCGTACGTTGTTTATTTCCAAATTGGAACTCAAAAAATACATGCAGTTGGATAACTTTGCTTATTATTATAGCTTTGGAGTCATAATGACCACAAAAAAGTCCTTTTTTTTATTGAGATTAGTTCACCCGGGCACAGGTCACTGACCCACATCGGGGCCTCGGGGGCGAAAATGTAATAATAATAATAATAATAATAATAATAATAATAATAATAATAATAATAATAATAATAATAATAATAATAATAATAATAAAAATAATGATAATAATAATAATAATAATAATAATAATAATAATAATAATAATAATAATAATAATAATAATAATAATAATAATAATAATAATAATAATAATAATAATAATAATAATAAATAAATAAATAAATAAATAAATAATAAATACAAAAATAAAATAAAAGAGTGACAAATGGTATAAAATAGGTATGATGTTTTGTCAATAGTAAGAGAAACAATTGAGACCCTGCAATTGTGTGTAAATGAGGCAGAAAGTCAGATCAGCAACCTGGGACTTGATCACTTTTAATTACCTTTTTACTTTTATCCTCTTCACCAGGCTAAAGGTCCATAAGAGTCCCGGACCTGACATGGTGCATCCTAGATTGCTAAGAGAGCTGTGCAACGAGCTTGCAGAGCCCCTGAAGATCCTGTTTTGTAAATGCCTGGATGAACAAATGGTCCCCAGTGAATGGAAAGTGGCTTATGTGAGTCCTATCTTCAAGAAGGGCGATAGTCACTCCACGAACAACTATAGACCGGTGAGCCTGACCAGCATAATATGTAAAGTACTTGAGAGTATTATCAGAGATGCCGCGATGGAACATCTACTACGAAACAACCTTGTAAAAGATTGCCAACACTGTTTTATGCCGGGGCGCTCTTGCTTAACACAATTGCTCAAGGTATTGGATATTTGGACCCATATTCTGGAACGGGGGGGTAATATCGACAATATTTACCTAGATTTTGCCAAGGCTTTCGACAGTGTACCCCACGAAAGGCTAAAAATCAAACTGGAAGGATACGGAATTCGGGGAAATGTCCAAGCGTGGATAGAAGACTTTCTACATGACCGCAAGCAGTGTGTGGTGATTAATGGCACGAAATCGTCATCTGTACCTGTAACAAGTGGGGTACCACAGGGCAGTGTATTGGGCCCGCTGTTGTTTGTTTGTTTCATAAATGACATGCCTGACGTTGTACACTCCTCAATACAAATGTTTGCCGATGATGGCAAGTTATTTCGGGAAATTAAGAACCAAGCGGACTGTGAAGAGCTGCAGAAGGACCTCTGTGGGCTCCAGGAATGGTCGAAGAAATGGCTGCTGAGATTCAATGTCACGAAGTGTAAGAGGATGCACCTGGGGCGTACCAACGGTAAGGAGGCGTATCATATGTCCCAACGGGATGAAGAAAATGCACTAGTTGAGACTGTGTGTGAGAAGGACCTAGGTGTGTATGTTGACAATGAGCTGAAGTTCTCGGGCCATTGTGAGAAGAAGGTAAATCAGGCAAATAAATTATTGGGTCTTATAAGAAGGTCGTTCAGATATCTAGACGGTCCGTCCCTCGTAACGATCTTCAGGAGTGAAGTGCTTCCCCATCTAGAGTACTGTCACCCCATCAGGTCCCCGAGATATGCTAGGGACTGTCAGTTGGTTGAAAATGTTCAAAGGAGGGCCACCAGACTGGTGCCTGCACTTCGGCACCTCAGCTACCCTGAGAGATTGGAGCGCCTGAACTTGCCTAGCTTATACTACAGACGGGCAAGGGGGACCTAGTTGAGGTGTATAAGCATCTCAGGGGGCACTACTCAGTTGAGTGTCCTTACTTGGAGCTGGCGGACGCTCGCCACACAAGGGGTCACAGCTCAAGATTGAAGAAGCCGCAAGTCCAGAAAACTGTGAGGGCAAACTTTTTTGGAGTGAGAGTTGTAAACTCTTGGAACAATCTACCAGAGAGTGTTGTGACGGCACCGAGTGTGAGCTCTTTCAAGACCAGTCTTGACCAAGACTGGAGCGGGTTCAGGTACATTCAGGAGCCGGTGCATGCCCAGTACTTGCCAACAGTGTGTAACAGAGACCTGGCCGATCGCCCAAGCGGCTAACGAGCCGATCAGTGGTGAAGAGGATAAAAGTAAAAGTAAAAATAAAAGTAATCCGGAGAGCAATATAAACTATTCTTTATCCTGGTGATGTTAAAGAGATAAATCTGATTATATCCAATTTAGTATATATAAATAAAAATGTAGACATTTTATACAATTTACTGATATATATAGCATATATTTCCTTTCTGTTTGTAAATTAATGTTCAATATATTAAAAAATCACTAATACACAATACTGAAATAAAGAGAAGCTCAGCTGTTAGGTAACCAACCCCCAGAAGCTGTACCGGTACTCTACTGTGCTCTGGGACTCACAGTTTTAGCTCATTATCCAACATTAAAAAGAAGTAACATAAATTTATAGCGATGGAAGACAAATTCTGTTTCGCCATAGATCGTGGAGGTACATTCACTGATGTGTATGCTCGTTGTCCTGGAGGATCAGTGAGAGTCTTGAAGTTACTATCCGTCGACCCCAACAACTATGAGGATGCTCCCACTGAGGGCATACGACGGGTTATACAAGAGGTAACTACTCTATAACAACTAACAACAACTAGGGTAGTTCATTGGACCCTATAAAATGTATTAATTATTGTCGTTTCTGTTGTGTAATGAATTTTTGGATTTTAGTTTGGAATAAGTAGTTAAGATAATTCTAAGATACTTTTCTTCTATAGCGTCTATGTCGGAAATGTATATTTTTTGAGTATTTTAACCGATAAGATTACCAACAGTATACTTGTTCAGAGGGAAAATGTGGGGTAAAATATTAGAAACAATCTGGGTTGCTTGATGTATCTTGGGTAAATTTGCATTGTCACACCATTCACTTTTAGCAAGTAAAAAATATGTTTCTCTAGTGTATTTGTGTGTGTTTAGACCAAATATGACCTTCATTTTTGGCGGAAATTAGCCGGGTTTTTTTGTTTGTTTGACGTTTTCCGAAAAAAAGTGGCTAACCGACTAAAGAATACACCAAAAAACACTAGAAAAACAAAAACCTAACCTAACTGACTCACCAGATGATGGAATCACCTATTTCTTACCTTATTGGCCTGGTTCTTGTTCGTCGTTGCATTCTGGGATTCTTACACAACGCCACATATGTTGGTCTTTGCGATATTTACATTCAGTCTTGCTCTTAGTACACTTTACTGAAGAACACCATGCGATCGAAAAAATGCTACAGTTTCTACATTTTTTCCAAAAACTCGCAATCAGCTCCATATACTTTAAGTGACATCCATCGCAGACTTCCATGGTCGGAACTGAACTTGAATTTAATTTTAATTGGTTCCAAAAGCAAAAACGCTTTTGATTGGCCACGTGATGTGTGCGGAAACACATGAGCGTGATGATTTATGAAGGAGACGCGAGAGACACGCAGTGTTGGGTGAGAGGCAGACGATAATGGCTGGAGGTTAATGGATGAAAATATAAATTTTTTTGGAAACGCTATCTCTGTTATTGTATATTTCCACCGGTAATGTAATAGATGAAAATTATCTTATAATTAGACGTCTTATTCAAATATGATAATAGATTAGTGGTAGGAATGAACGGTGTGTAAACGCAATAATACCGTATCTTGTATACCTAAAAATGTGACGATTAAAGGTATGTGAAAATTTTCTTCGACTTGGGGGTAACTTCAGACAGCTCAAAAATGACTTGGGAGGCACAATTCAAATATTGGGGGGCGCTGGTGGAGAGGTACCGCTCTTGCCTCGCAAGTAAGATGCCACGGGTTCGATTCCTGGGCCGGCGGAAGTTGTTTGGACACTCTTCCTAGTCCCCTTGGTCCCTGTTACCTAGCAGCAAAGTAGGTACCTGCTGTAAATCGAAAGTTGCGATTTCGTATTCAGGGACAAGTTGTTGGAGCTTCCATTAACTTGCTTAGACATAAAACTATTGACTCTTCAGGCTTCTACGCCCTTAACTCATCGGACATAAGGCAAGCATGAACTTGGCATGCTTCCATGTTGGGCGCTGTAAACGCTTCTGTGGTTCACCTTACACAAGGATGTAGGGGGGTGCCTAATAAAAAAAAAAAATCCAAATATTCTTCATGCATATTTGTAAGGTTGCATGATATAAAACTTGTACAATAATGGTACTAGGCATGGTAATGATAACGAAATAATGATAAAACTGTAATCTACGACGCTGGGTAAAACAAGAACATGTATACTGGGCACCGGTGCCCCATTATATTTGTTTTGGTGTCTCTCTCTTACTTTACTTACTTTTATCCTCTTCACCACTGATCGGCTTGTTAGCCGCTTGGGCGATCGGTCACGTCTCTGTCACTCACTGTTGGCAAGTACTAGTCATGTACTGGCTCTCTTTTATGCACTGTTTGCACTGGATAGCTTCAAACATAGGTTGGATGGATATATGAGCAATAGGGGATGGGTGTAAATGGGACTGCCCAGTATGGGCAAATAGGCCTGCTACAGTTTCCTCTATTCTCACGTTCTTATGATCTTGGCAGGTACTGGGCATGCACTTGCTTCTAACAGAACCAAGTAGCATGATATTTTCATGTAATATAATTTTCTTGAAAAGTTTTCCCTTCTCTTGACTCTTCTTCCCTTTTTGACCTACAATATATAGTATGTAATTTTGATGCTGCAGATTTTTGCCCAGTTTTTATCTGAGGTCATTGATGTTTGAAGCCACCTCTAGACTATCCGGCCAGGCTCTAACAGGCAGCTACAGCTATTAGTGCACCAGTAGCATAACATATACTTATAGCCTTCAAACATTAACTGCAGTAGTTGATAAAGTACAATATCATCTGGTAAAAAGAATCGGTAATATTTGTACGTGTTTAACTTTTTTAACATTATGCTTTAATTTCTTTTTCAGGAGACTGGAAAAAGTATTCCTCGAACCTCACTCTTAGAAACAAACAATATTGGGTGGATACGTATGGGCACGACTGTTGCCACAAATGCACTTTTGGAACGAAAGGGGGAGAGGATGGCCTTAGCAATAACTGAGGGCTTCAAAGATCTTCTCCATATTGGTAACCAAGCCCGCCCTAATATTTTTGATTTGGTAAGTGACTGTGTCAGTTTGAGCATGTTTGTAGCTGGAGAAAAGGCTTCTCTGTATAATTCATAAGTGACATTCTTTATTCAAAACCTCATAATAAACATTATTATTTATTTATTATTGACTAACAAAAAAATAAGGGAAATGGCCGGAT